CTCGTTGATTCCTTTTCAAATGAAGGGTTCTATCGTTTATGGTGTTGATTAGAACAGGAGGGCCTTTCAGCACAACGCCCTCATCTGTATTCAACATAGGCAGGGCTACCTCTGTTTAAGAATACACGGAAGGGTTCATTCTAAGAAAGTAAACTCTCTCATTTCAATCGGAGCGGACGGACCCACTCATCTATCAAGAAAAGAGCCGAAAGCATTTGGGAGGAGTTAAAATACGAATGAGGGGCTATCGCAGTATCCTTTTGTCTTCTGACACGGGTTCTTTGACAGAAGGGGTTCCTGCCTGTTGTTTGTTTCAAGAAAGGGAGGCTTTCGAGTGGCAAGGGGCGAACTCACGCCCACCCCGGTCTTTGGGGCCACTCTGAAAACAGCTTGGAGAGGACAGTTGCTTCTCTCTCCTTGTTCTGTTGCTCTATCTCTTGCGCCGTGTCTGTCGTTCTCCTTCCCTCCTTCTGCGAATCTGCTTCTTTCAATATCCACCAGGGCCCCGCCGTTTTCGGGTTCCTTGAGGGGCTCCCTGAAAGGGCCTCCCAGGGGTTTGAGAGAAGACTGCGAGAGGGGAAAAGGGGACAGTGAGGAAGACCCTGCCCCCCGTTTCCAACAAGAGAAAAAATATGCCAGAGAGATGTAGGCAGACAGAGGGTAGTGAGAAGGGTCAAGCAGCACTCCTCCTCTTCCTCCTCTCTTGTCAGCACCTTCACTCTTCTGTCTAACCTTTGTTTTCTGTGGTTCTATTTCCTTCTTGAAGGATGTTGAATGGCAAATGAAAAACGGGAGGGGCGAGGAGGAAAGAGGAAAGAACAAGAAGAAGGAAGAGGGGAAGAGAAAGGAATGATGGAAGGAAGGAGGGAGGGAGGCAGTCAAGGAGAGAGACAGAGAGAGACAGAGACAAAGAGAAGAGAGAGGGAGCGAGAGAGAGAGAGAGAGGGAGAGGCAGAGAGAAAGCGAGAGCGAAAGAGAAAAAGATGGAGAGAGATACGATGAATAAAAGAACCACACTGAGCTATTTAAAGGGTGTTAAGTCTTTTGAGAAAGGTCTTAAAGCAGGACAGGGCCCGCGCGGGACCCTACGGGCTTTACGGCCCTAAGGCCCTGAGGGGCTTGCGGGCCTTGCGGGCTCTGCGGGCCTTGCTTACGGGCTGTACGGGCTCTATGGGCTCTACGGGCTCTGCGGGCTCTACGGGCTCTACGCGGGCTCTACGGGCTCTACGCGGGCTCTATATCACGACGCGCATATCCTCTCTCTTTATCTTCACAATTGCAATAGTCCACAGCTCTGAGTGACACATTTTGCAACTTCGCCTTCTCTTTTCGTACTTCGAAGAGAATGAGGGAATTGAAGTTTCAGCTCTAGAGTTTCGAGTTCAAGACGTCAGACTCACAGTGCTCTATACAGTGTTCCCTCTTTCTCTACAACGAGCACAAGCTAGGGTTTAGGGTTTAGGGTTTAGGGTTTAGAGTTTAGGGTGTAGGGTTTAGGGTTTACAGTTTAGGGTCTAGGGTTTAAGGCTTAGGGTTCAAGATTTGGGGTTTAGGGTTTAGGGTTTAGGGTTTGGGGAGCACAAGCTCGAAGTCGTTAAGGGTTATGACCCAGACTAGGGCCATACTTCCTCAACTCTCATAAGCCGGAAAGCCCTCAGGCCCCAAACCGAAACTTGCACCTCTAAACCTTAAGCTCCTGACGTGAAGCTTTTGAGATCTTCTGGACGGCGTGCACTCTTGTGGGAAAGCTCCGAAATCTCGCCCCGAGCTTTAAGAGTCGAGCCTAAGGCCTGATTTAGGGTTTAGGATTTCGCGTTTAGATCTTATGGGGGTTTAGGCTTTAGGGAAGCCTACTCCTCATATAGGATTCACTCAGCAAGTTGAGGGTGTAGAGTTTCAGATTTTCAGCTTCCTGCGAGAGAAACTGCCCACCTATTACTCTCCTAAAGGAGTGCGTTGGGGGCTTTCTAAACTCCTGAGTAACCGAAGCAACCCTCTGTCACGAGCTTCATATAGTGTTTGGCTACGCGCTGAAGAACTGCTCGCCAGATCCAGGCCATAGGGTCTCGGCAGCGTGCTTGAAGACTTTGGCGCACCGCTTGCGCCTTGCAAGTCAGCCTTGGAGCGTCAGTTCTTCTTTAGCGCTTCGCTAGTCCAACAAGGACAGGGGGCCATGCGGGTCTCAGATCATCTCAAGCTTAAGCTTGCAGCGTGTCTCGATGTTTAAGGCGCTTTGCTCGTCTAACGAGCAGAGGGGCCCAGCTTAGCCATAATGACACGTTTTCGAAGGTCCGAGCCGCGGATTTGAGGGCTTAGGGGTCTCAGATCATCCCAAGCTTCAAGCCTGCGTCAATTTTTCGAAAACACTAACCCTATCCCCTAAACCCTAAACCCCTAAAACCTGCTCCACGAACCTGCACTGGCCTGCGCCGTGCGCCAGAGGAGGTGGCAAGTCTCAGCGGGCCATGCCTCTCCAACACACCCACGCACACACGTGATTATCTGTGTGAGCCTCATTGTTGGTACCTCTCCCTCTGTCTCTCTCTCCGTCCCCACTTCCCAGCCCATCCTCTTTTCAACCCCCCCCCATCTTGCTCGACTCTCCTAGCAATGCCAATTGCCGAGCTGTTCATTCAGCTTCCGGCGCTTGCTTCCCTGACTGTCCCCTGCGTCCTGCGTCTTCTCCCTAGCGGACGACGCTGGCACAGATGCTTCGATTATGATGCAATCATCATCATCCTCCTCCACGGCTTCTTTCTTTACTGCCGTCTTGGCAGCCCTGCGCGCTGTAGGCGCAGCCCTGGCCTTAGAAGTTGTCGCCAAACCAACATCGTGTGAGACTATCTCTTGCTTCGCAACAATGCTCGCCTTCGGCGCCGCTCTTGACTTAGCAGCTCTTGGTCGCACGACAACGCTCGCCTTTGGCGCCGCTGTTGAGTTGGCAGCTCTTGGTCGCACGGCCAACACACCCTCTTCCGACACCTGCTCATCTGCAGTGGCCGCCACGACCCGGGCGCCTGAGCCGCCTCCTTTGGATGCGACTTCTACCAAACGCTTCGAAAAAGCTGCAAAACTCAAGCCACACAAAGCCATCAGCCGGTTGTGATACACACGCACAGCTTCTCGATCATTGGACTTGGGAAGGTGTAGCACCAGCCGTGGGCCCTTGCGGTCAGCCAGCGTCTGCACCTCACCGATGCAGTGCTGTTCCATGCCTGCGTTGATGACCGCGAGCCAGCGCGCCAGCTTTAACGACGTCCTAACTGTTTTGTTGTCAACAGTCGTCTTCTTCGAGCAAGCATCCACGACGCGACGAGCAAAAATAACCGGTTCTCCCCGAAGAAGCGTACGCAACATTACTGCCTTGCACTGTCAACGGACGTCAAAGCATATCCTATGACCACATTTAGTCCTTACACTGCTACGATTAGGGCTATACGTGAACCCTGAGAGTTGCAAACAAAAGTTGTCATCAAGCCACTCTATCTGAAAGAATACTTGGCCCTTGCGTTGGATCCTGTACCGAACTGCCGCCAGGCCCGTAGCCATCACTTAGCGGCGGCGAGTCGCTTTGGCTGAAGACATGGCCTGGCTCGCCATCCTCTGCAGCCGACTCCTGCGCAACTTCGAACTTCACGAACTGACTTTCTGGGATCCGCTGCTGCTCCAGCGCTGACTCCAGCTGCTGCGCAGCACTTGCCGCTTGTGACAGTGCCTGCTCTGCGCTACCGGGCGCCACCACACTGCCATTCACGCACAAGCCCAATACATCATGAGTCAACCTGAGGGCGTCATACGCGCGAAGCACGTGATGTGGTTGGATGCGAAGCCTCGATTCTGCCACCAGTCTGGAGTCTGCCTCGCACCCAACCCAGCAGACCCGGCCCCTGCACCAACTCTCCCCAACAGCCGACAGGTACTCCAACAATCTAACGTTACACTCACTTTCATCCCTGTCATGCAGCCTGCTCCGTCGCGATGTCCCAGACTAACTGGGCAGCTGCCAGCACACCGAGGTGCCATGCGGCCGTTCCCTTCCTCGCCGCCGAATCGTCGTCGTTGTCACGAAGCACCTCTGTTTCAGCTGCAGGTGTTATGGAGTGACGAGTAAGTGTTCAAGCAGAGCTGCGCTTACCCCGCCACACCAACATTGCAAAAAAACTCTGCTAACAGGATTGGGAAACACTCTGCTCAGCTGAAAAACACGCCGCGCAGGCCACAAAGAGTTCCTGGGCCTCCTCAGTGAACTCCACCACCGCATGCGGATCAGCAAAATAATGCAGCACCCTGTGCGCCATGGACTCGATGTCTGGAACAGGAATGTTCCGGTTGGCAACTGCAAACTCGGGCCGTCGGTGACAGCGAGCAGATTCTCCCGAGCCACTCGCCTTGAATGTTCTGAACTTGCAAAAAAAGCTCGAAAACGAATAAAGATCAGGCATAAGATATAAGATATGAGACACAAAACATAAGATAAGATATAAGATACGAGGCGTGAAACATGTAGAATATGGAATATTTCACATGAAATATAAAATGTTCGTTGACTTTCAACAAGATGCCACCGTGCGGAAACGCAGCTCCGTCGAGCAGCCATCCGCCAGAACAATACGGAAGCATGGACAGTCATCCACAGGCTCAGTTGGCTCGAATAACCGTGTAGCTGTCTCAAGCGCTAGCGCCTCACGTGTGAGGCCCAAAGCCTCCAGCATGTTCGGTAAGAGTGGCACCCACGACACTCTCTGGAAGTCAGCTGGCAGCTCTATCGACTCTGCAAGCGGAGCATGGGGAGAAATTGGTCTTCCGAAAAGGAAAAGGATTCTTTCCATTGCTGCTACTTCATGGTTGCCAGTCTCTCCTTTCCTAACTTGGCGTGCACTGGTACAACGCCAGCCCTTTACTCAACCCCTACACTGCCATCAAACCATGAAACTAATCCCTCTGCACACAAAACAGAAAAAACTTCCACACACAAAAGAGAAAAAACTTCCACTCACCGGTCATCCTAGCTTCACCAAGCCAAGAAAAGGGCCAGAATGAATGTTGCCGACGCCAACCACGTTGCACGTGGCGCTGCGGGACTCGTAGCTCACGCCCGTCTTGCAGGTCATGCTGCTGTGACCTGTCTGCAGCAATGCGTTCCACTGCGAGGCACCATCCGAGGGTGCAGCTGCGTGCTCCTTGCCATGTCCTTTGCCTGTACCCAGTCCCAACATCTTCAGGAATCGGTAGCTTTCGTCCAAGGACAACAAAACACTGTAGTACAAACGATCGCCTTCTGCACAGCATCTCTGGAAGAAGCCCGCTTCCGTGAAAGTAGTCAAGACGGCACTCTTAGGCCGAGGCTCCTTGCCTTCAGCCCAGCGAGCAATCACTCTGTCAACCGCCTTGCCCACTTTGTTGATGCAATTTGTTATCCCACTTTTCCTTGTCTGAGGTGGGTTTACCACGAGGCACACGAGTGACAAAGGCGAAGGGTCTCCTGGAAAACAACGAACAAGAGCTCCGTTGACGCATCCAAGGAGAGCAGTCTGGAGAGCCATCCCATATGGAAACGGGTGCGCGCAAACTTGAGCGCTCAGTCGCGCGACCATGTCTCCGCCTGCTTCGCCAAACAACCCCCTCTCGTCGAAGTGACTGTCTATGTAGTCCCAGGCCTGGTGCATGGCAGCCGTTGCCATGCTGTGGCCAAGTCACCGGCGAAGGCCTTGCTTTTAGCCCTCAAGCGCACTCCATGTCGCAGCCAAAATGGCAGCTGCAGCAAAACCGAACTTTGGAACTTTGTGGTTCCAAATAAAAGAGTCCACAGCAAAGGACTGTTGCTTTCTGGGTTTAGGCCTTAGGCAACTAGGTGAATAAGCCATCCATAAGGGAGGTCGGCCGGGACTGCGCACGCCACCCTTCAGAGCACCCCATACCTCACGCAACCCTACTACTAAACCCTAAACCCCAAATCGAAGACACATGCCCGAACTGCTTAACCCTGCTATAGGTTTCATTTCAGCCGTCTTGCTACCCTCGAAACGCGGAAACCCGCCTTCTCCAGCACTCCTGGAAGCCGCCACGCGAATCCGCCGTTTTGGCGCGGGGACAGCATCCGCGCCTGCAAAGGTATCGGTTGAACTACAGTCAATACACATACTATATGCAGAAGTTACGGTGTACGGTGTACTCTTATAATCTATGTGTGTGTGCGTGTGTGCGTGTGTGTTCTATGTGGCCTGCAGGCCCGAACGCCCTTCTCCGTCTTCGTGCCCTTCCAGGCGGCGTGAGCGGCGCCGCCTCTGCAGGCCGCTCCCCCACACGTGCCCGTCCTGCCGGCTCTGGTCCAGCAACAGTGTTGCGGGAATCTGCTACCTCCTGCAAGAAGAAATCCCGCACGTAGCGCGAACGGATGCAGCGCACGGCGTGTCGATGCCTGGACATGAGACTGTTGAGGACCTCTGCTGCAGACGTATTCAGATCTTGCACAAGCTGAGCGTTCTGCGGTGCGTCCGGATGGCACTCTCGGATACACCACGGGTCGCTATGACCCGTGGCGTGCATCCGGTCAAGTATATACCGAATCCGCGGGTGTCTTAGACGATTTGTCAATTCTGTCCGGTCACCATTCCTCTCCGAGAAACGCCGGAGATGACAACTGTCATCGTGGATCAGCACATTGATCTCACCAACAGCCTCCACCAATTCTCCTAGAAAAAAACCTTTGCGACAATGATTCTGCACCCACATACGGCTTCATGTGCAGAATGTGCCCGCATGGCGTCGTTGCGAAAAGAAACCCGTTACACCGCCCAGCTCTCCTCGACCAACAGAAAAACGCAGCAGCCCTATGTCTTTCAGTCTTGAACCTGGACACTCTTAAACAATCAAAGGAATTACACATGTGCTGCCCAGTTGCACTTGCGCTCTCGTGCCCTGCCGGACCTCTTTGTGGGTTTTGCAGCTGCTTGCAGCCAGATCTTCAGCTGCCGACTTTTCCGGAACGAAGCCAGAGGCTTCCAATTTTCGCCAGTACTCGTGTAGTTGCGTGGCTGTCACAAGGGACGCATTGACCCATCGGCCTGCCAAATTTGGAGCATCCTTCACTTTCAAAAACACATCATACAGTTCCCCTTGTCCTGCTCTTCGAACACGACGATGGGCAGTAATGACTTCAGACTGTTCGGGCAACGGATCTGCTGGAGCATGGCTGGTGTCGTGTTTCATGCAACGCCGTTTCTTGAACTGAGGCTCCGCGCTGCAACAGGTCACGGTGAACATGTCCAGCGAACGGTTGTCGATGATTTCCGCCGCAGGACGGCCGCATATCCTGCCTGACAGCTTAGCGTTGCCGTCCATAACGACGGCGCTCAAGTCCAGCTGTTTCGACCGAGCTAGGTCCACTCTTCTCTTCAACATGTGCGCAGGATACCACTCCCACGCCTCTGCAAGCAGCGTCGGCAGTGGCTTCCGTAGGTTCACACGCACTTGCACTTCACCCTCCTTTCTGGCCGCATGTTGCCTCCATCGAATGACCTTACTTCTTCTGAAGGCTAAAGGCTTCCAGTTCTGCGAACCAACACTGAACCTTATGGAGGCACCCAGCACGCAGCTCCAAAACCCATACGGGATGCGCCCGGGCAAGACACCGCAAGTGCTACTGGGTCGAACATGTGGGGATCAGACACACGCGGCGCAACCAGCCTGCGAGCAAATATAAAGATATGTAACTACAAATAATATAAATATATATATATTTATATTTATTTATTTATTTATTTATATTTATATTTATTTATTTACATATTTATATATATATATGTATGTATATATATATATGCATATAATTGCATTATATATACACACTATATTATATGTCTTACTCAATACATATTTTATAACTGATGCTTATTATTATTATGATTATTATTATTCTGTTTATTATTATTATTGTTATTGTTATTGTTATTATTGTTATGATTATGACTGTTCTCATTATGATTATAATTATATTGTTATGATTCTATATATAGATATATATCTGATATAATGCTTCTCAAGTATTTTCTAATATACAACATATCACATATAATATACCAAACCTGCCAAGTAACCAAACGCCACAGCATCCACGCCCGAAGCAACTTCAACTTGGCCTTGTCTGGCACAATGTCACTCTTGCCCAAGCCAACAGCTTCGAGAAAGTGAACTTTGGCTTCCCCCGCAAAGGAAGACCACTGGAAGATCAAACGACGACTGAATTGTCGCAGCCAGCGTATAGAAACCCCGAAGGCGTAAGTCAAAAAAAAATATTGCATGCACTCCTCCTGCCCCCATGAAAAGACGTACTCAGAGCCACTGCATACGAAGTTGTATGCCACGGCGGCACAGTTCAAAGAACATTCAAAATTCCGGCATCTCATGATGTCATGTTTCACTTGGAGCCAGCCGCACACATCCAGCACCGATGCGATGACAGTTTCTTTCTTGCTCAACTTTCTCCCACATACGCTGCAGGCACCGTCATATCTGATCTCTTCCATGGCTTCACTAACCTACATGAGATGATGCGAGATCTTCGAAGCGAAATGCTTGTTGAGCAACTCATCTCTGTATTGGTACCATGACAAGCTAAAGCATATTTAGGATCAAGTACGGGCTTTGAGCCTGGGCGGGACACAGCACGGCTTGCGGCAGATTCCTTCCTACGGGCTGCGGGCTCCTGCGGGATCCTACGGGCTCCTGCGGGCTCCTACGGGCTCCTACGGGCTGTACGGCCCTTGCGGGCTCTACGGGCCTTACGGGCCCTACGGCCCTCCTACGGGCAAAGGGCCCGGGCCTGGTTAAGGACCTTGGTCAGTCTTTTAGAGAGCCCATAATTTGAACATTTTGAATAATTGAATTCAGGTCTTCATTCTTTATAATATGTTGAATTCAGGTCTTCATTTTTTCATAATATTTGGGAGGCTCAAGATATCACATTGGGCGCAATCACTGCAACTGAACGATGCAAACAGTTTTATTTATGGTTACTGCAAAATGTTAAAATGTAGGGTGGAGACCAAAGACCTCAATCATACGATTTGTTTACAAACATGCTCTTCTTGTAGCCTGGTAAATATCTTAAAGCATTGAAAAAGTAAGACGGCAACAACGTTAACGAACGTTGTTGTTTTGCAAAACCTTAAAGCGCCATCATTGTTTTAACGAAAAGGTTCGATTTGAACCTTGATATGTCCTCAACATCAAAAAAGGAAAGGTTTGTTTATCAACCTGGTGCGCCGGCAACATCAAAACGTCAGTTTTTGCGTAAACCGTAGTGTGTCCTAAACTTCAAAAACGACGGGATTTTCGTAAGCCTGGGTGTGCCCCCATCCTCGAAAACGAAGGTGTGTTTGTAAACACGTTCAAGCGAAAGGGCTTTATTTTTTTTAACCCTAGCATAGGGTTTTTGTCAGCCCTAGCGTGCCCTCAACCTCAAAAACGAAAGCTCCTTTTAAATATTAAAATCTCTTAACATCCTTAAAACCTAGAAAATTTCAGCATAGAAGAAGGCAAGGATATTTCAAAATTAAAAAGGGGTCCCGGGGTCTCAGGGTTAGGGGGTAGGCGCTGAGGCTCTTAGGAGCTTAGGAGCTTAGGTTTAAGGATTCCGGAGACTAGGAGCTTAAGGTTTAGGGTTTGATTTAAGGTTTAAGGGTTTGAGGGGTAGGTGCTTAGGCGCTTGGGAGCTTAGGAGGGTTTAAGGATGTAGGGGGTAGGCACTTAGGCGCTTAGGACCTCAGGAGCTTAGGGTTTAGGGTTTAAGGGTTTAGGGGTTTAGGGGTTTAGGGGTTTAGGGGGTAGGCGCTGAGGAGCTTAGGAGCTTTGGAGCTTAGGGTTTAAGGATCTGCTAGTGTAGGGGGTAGGCGCTTAGGAGCTTAGGAGCTGGTTTAAGGTTTTAAGGGTTGAAGGGGTAGGTGCTTGGGCGCCTAGGAGCTTAGGAGCTTAATTTAAAATAGAAGGAAATCCTTAAACTCCTTAAAAAATAAAATCCGAGGCCGAATATTGTTTTAGGAGAAGCCCCGAAGGATTTAAATTTTAAAAATCCATAAAATCCATAAAAAAAAAAAATAAAATCAAAACAATTTATTTTTTAAGGATTTTAAGGATTTTAGTCGATTTTAAAATTCATAAAATCCTTAAAAAAATAAAATCCGAGGCCGAATATTTTTTTTAAGGATTTTATGCATTTTAAAACCGACTAAAATCCTTAAAATCCTTAAAAAATAAATTATTTTGATTTTAGTTTTTATGGATTTTAAGGATTTTTAAAAATTTAAATCGCTTGGGGCTTCTCCTAAAAAAAAAAACCATCGGATTTTGTTTTTTTATGGATGTTATGGATTTTAGTCGATTTTAAAATGCGTAAAATCCTTAAAAAAAAACCCGAGGCCGAATATTTTTTTAAGGATTTTATGCATTTTAAAATCGACTAAAATCCTTAAAATCCTTAAAAAACAATTTATTTTGATTTTATTTTTTATGGATTTTAAGGATTTTTAAAAAATTTAAATCGCTTGGGGCTTCTCCTAAAAAAAAAACCATCGGTTTTTATTTTTTATGGATTTTATGGATTTTAGTCGATTTTAAAATGCGTAAAATCCTTAAAAAAAATTCCGAGGCCGAATATTGTTTTAGGAGAAGCCCCGAAGGATTTAAATTTTTAAAAATCCATAAAATCCATAAAAAAATAAAATCAAAACAATTTATTTTTTAAGGATTTTAAGGATTTTAGTCGATTTTAAAATTCATAAAATCCTTAAAAAATAAAATCCGAGGCCGAATATTTTTTTAAGGATTTTATGCATTTTAAAACCGACTAAAATCCTTAAAATCCTTAAAAAATAAGTTATTTTGATTTTGTTTTTTTATGGATTTTAAGGATTTTTGAAAATTTAAATCGCTTGGGGCTTCTCCTAAAAAAAAACCATCGGATTTTTTCTTTTATGCATTTTATGGGTTTTAGTCGATTTTACAATGCGAAAAAACCTTGAAAAACCTTAAAAAAAAATACCTTGAAGTCCGTGAGGTCGAGGCCAAGCACTGCGCCAAATGAACCCTAAAGGTCCTACATACTTAGGGGTTTAGGGGTTTAGGGGTTTAGGGTTTAGGGTTTAGGGTTTAGGGTTTAGGGTTTGGGTTTACGGTTTAGGGTTTAGGGTTTAGGGTGTGTTAGGGTTTAGGGTATGTTGGGGCTTAGGGTGTGTTGGGGTTTAGGGCGTGTTGGGGTTGCTAAGGTTTTAGGGTTTAGGGTATAGGGTTTAGGGGTTCGGGCTTGGGGTTTAAGGTGCATAGAACGGGTTTAGGTAGAGCACTAGGGGGTTCAGGGTTCAGGATTTAGAGTTCTTTCAAAAACCATGCAACCTCCCCAGTGATGTCTGCATGAGGGTTCGTTTGGGACTTGGGTTTAGGGTTTAGGGTTTAGGGTTTAGGGTTTAGGGTTTAGGGTTTAGGGGTTAGGGTTTAGGGTTGGGGCTTTGAGGCTTCGGGTTTCCAATTGTAGCTTTAGGCGCTTCGGCCCGCCATGGACTCACGGGACTGGGGTGAGCACAACGACCTACCATTTTTTTTGGTTTGGGGTTTAGGGTTTAGGGTTTAGGGTTTAGGGTTTAGGGTTTAGGGTTTAGGGTTTAGGGTTTAGGGTTTAGGGTTTAGGGTTTAGGGTTTAGGGTTTAGGGTTGCTTAGGGCTTGGGGCTTGGGGCTTGGGGCTGGGTTTAGGGTTCTGATGTATTTTTCGGGATGGACACGTGCGACGCGGGCCCTCCCATCGCCAACTTGGGTTCTACCGGGTACAGTATGTTTACGGTTTAGGGTTTAGGGTTGAGGGTTGAGGGCTGAGGGTTGAGGGTTTAGGGTTTCGGGTTTAGGGACGCTGAAGCTGCAACGCACAAACCCTAAACCCTAAACCCCAAACCCGAAACCCTGAACCCTAAACCCTCAACCCTCAACCCTCAACCCGAAACGAACATAGGCCCTCAACCGAAAGGCCCCCTGGACCCCTCTGGGAAAAAACCGCGCGGCTCAACGATGCGGGCCATCTTCTCATCCAAGGGAGCTACCTCCTCATTGGGGGGTTTCGGGTTTCGGGCTTCGGGTTTAGGGTTTAGGGTTTAGGGTTTAGGGTTTAGGGTTTAGGGTTTAGGGTTTAGGGTTTAGGGTTTAGGGTTTAGGGGTTCGGGGTTCGGGGTTAGGGGTTAGGGGTTAGGGTTTGGGTTTTGGGGTTTAGGGTTTGGGGATTGAGGGTTAGGGGTTTAGGGGTTAGGGGTTAGGGTTTAGGGTTCGCGGGGCTGACTGCTTACAGGGCCTTTGTGGTTGGTGGGGTTTTTGGGCAACCCCAAACCCTAAACCCTGAACCCTGAACCCGGAACCCCAAACCCTAAACCCTAAACCCTAAACCGGGTGCCATCCAGTGGATGGAGTCGGGCACTCTCGAAACCTGAAAGGAACCCGGAGCCCTGAACCCCAAACCCCAAAGCCTTGGCATCAATCCAACCTCCTGAAGCCCCCAACCAAGCAAATTCAATCCCCCTAAACCCTAAACCCTAAACCCTAAACCCTGAGCACGAAGCCCTAAGCCCTAAACCCTAAGCCCTAAACCCTAAACCCTAAACCCTAAACCCTAAACCCTAAGCCCTAGCCCTAAACCCTAAACCCTAAACAGCGCAGCCGAAGCAGCCATCTGCTGCATCTGGCTTGAGATGAAGTTCATGTTGAAGGCAGTGCTGCTTGGGCAGCCGGAGCTCAACCCACCAGAGTCCATTCCCTGCATGGGGTTTGGGGTTTAGGGTTTAGGGTTTAGGGTTTGGGGTTTAGGGCTTAGGGTTTGGGGTTTGGGGGTTGGGGTTTAGGGTTTAGGGTTTAGGGTTTGGGGTTTAGGGTTTAGGGTTTGGGGTTTAGGGTTTAGGGTTTAGGGTTTGGGGTTTAGGGTTTAGGGTTTGGGGTTTAGGGTTTGGGGTTTGGGGTTTGGGGTTTGGGGTTTGGGGTTTGGCGTTTGGGGTTTGGGGTTTGGGGTTCTTGGGTTTGGGGTTTGGGGTTTGGGGCTTGGGAGGGTGTGAGAGTCCTATTTAGGGCTCCGCGCAGGGGGGCCACAAGGGGCTTAGGGGCTCGAGAGCCTCCAAACCCCGGAGCAGCAAAATCTACATCTTCATGGCATTGAAACCCTCTACCCTGCACCCCAAGACCCACAGAACCTTGAAACCCTAAACCCTAAACCCTAAACCCTTCAGCTGCGTGCAAGCAGCGACATCCGAGCCGTTGCCTGGGGGCAATTTCGGCTTTGGGGCTAGGGGGAAATCGGAGTTCAGGGCTTCGAGAGTCTGGCGCTTCTTTCGGGGTTTAGGGTTTAGGGTTTAGGGTTTCGGGTTTCGGGTTTAGGAGGGCTTTCGGGGAGCAGAGGCTTTAAGGCGTTGAGGGCTGAGGGCCGATCGGCTCTGCAGGGGCGACGCTGATCAGGTTTACGACTCGCGGTGCTTTGCGGGGTTGCGGGGGTTTTGGGAGGCT